ATTCATGTGGAGATTAATGTTTTAAATATAACACTTTGAATACAGAAATATTAGATTATTTAAATAACTGAAATTATACGCTAAAAATGAAACTAAATCCGCCAGCAGGTGGCGGCAAGTCACTGATTTTATCACTGAATCATTCATTCAATTGATTCGTTCGAACGGCTGAATCATTCAGGAATGAAGCAAGTGACTGTCTTTATGTATAATATAACATATTATATTATATGTTAAAATAATCGTAGCGACGGAACACTTTAATCCCTGTTTATATATGTAATGCAAAGCTGAATTTTCAGCATCATTACTTCAGTCTTCAGTGTCTCATGATCCTTCAGAAATCATTCTAATAAAGTAATTTGCTGCTCAAGAAACATTTCTTATTATGTACAACAGTTGAGCTGCTTAATATTTTTTTGTAGAAACTGTGATACTTTTTTTTCAGGATTCCCTAATATTGCATTTAGATGCAATAGAAATGTATTGTAACATTATAGATGTCACTTCTGACCAGTTGAATACATGCTTGCTGAATATATACTTTGAATAAATCTGAAATATAAAAGCGTCATGCAAAAAAAGATAAAGAAGCAGAAATAAAGATGACAGGGTAAATTTCAGGTCAAACTATCCAATTGCAAAAAGACTTTCTGGACTAACCCATTGACCTTTTAAAGTACTTCATCTCATAATTGGAAGGAATGTCAGTAACCTGGCATTGAGCTGGAGCTTTTCATCCAAAGTGTCATACAGCATACTAATTAGAGACGCAGTTCCCCACAGCAAACACAGATTACATGCCTTACTAAAGCGCACAATGGCAGGAGTGCAGGACTGTACCGACAGCAGCTCCTCAACCACACGGTCGCTTCTGTGTTATTACCCAAGATCATAAACCCAGAGGAAAGTATATTAACTTTTGGGCCTTTTTGAGGGTGAAATGCTTCACAAATTTTAGTACAAAGACAATAAATTACAAAAGAGTGCCATTAGTATTAACAGTAGTAATATAGCATTTGGCCACTTAAATCACATTTTAAAATGTCAGAATGCTATGGAAGCCCGTTTCCGCCACTAAATAAAAAATAAAAAAGGTAATTGCGACTTTTTATTCACATCACGCAATTTTTACTTTTTTCATCAAAATTTCCTTATACAAATTCGAAATTCAGATTTTTTTTTCCTCAAAATTGCGAGATACAAACTCACAATTCTGACTTTTTTTCATCAAAATTGCGAGATACAAACTCGCAATTCTGACTTTTTTCCCCTCAAAATTGCTGTTGGGAATAAAAAAAAAAAAATCGGAGTGTCTAAGTGCAAATAGCCCGCCTTGTTGGCAGAGGCTATTTACACTAACTCCACCCACCAACGTGTGATTGGGATAGTCAACATTACAAAAGACGGTCATTAATCATCAGATTCAGTGGCGTAGATGGTAAAGCATGTGTCATAGATTACTCCTTTTGACGCGATCGACCCGGGTTCGAATCTGCCTTTTGGAGAACATTTTTTTTCTCCCTTTTCAAATTTCAAATCACATCAGAAAAGCAGAGGTGCAGATAATTGCCACTATTTGTAATAGGCAATTAGCAGAATATCCTGCTATTTTAATAGTAGTATAAATAGAATAGCTATTTGCACAGTGTAAATAGCATATGATATCACTAAAAAAATACTGCTATTTTCACGTAGTGTAAATAACATCTATTGCTATTTGCACTAAGTGTATATAGCCTCTATCGCCCCTCCCCTGGAGAACTTTGGAGTTTTCTCTGAAAGGTACTGGACATTTCCTCATTGTCATAACAAAATGGGCCTAAGAGTGAATTGTTCATTTGCTTGTAATGCTCTCTTGACGGGCCTTCCCGCATGTAGCCAAAAAAAAGCTCACGTTACTCCTCTCCTCATCAGGGTACACTGGCTACCAGTAGCCGCTCGGTCTGTTGCCATTTTGAAAAAACTTCTAAAGACATCTTTTTCGCCATCACCTGACCAATTAATACTAGCGCTTACCTATTCTATTCTGTTTTATTCCGTTCTATTATTTAAAAAAAAAAAAAACCTACTGATCTACGTTCATCTTTATATAGATCAGTGAATTTGCCATTGTGATGTCATTCTAGTGACATTTAGCTACCAGTTTTAGCTACTTTCAATTGAAAGCAGTTGGCAACACTGATCACGTGCATGCACTCTGTCTCTGTTTGTGTTATTTGGTGATATACTTGATAATGTCAGATCGCACATCATTACAACAACTTACCATATTATCACAGAAGGCTGTATATCGCAGACGCCAGACTAGACTTGAGTGGAAAATGAAATCATCCGAGGTTATGTGCGCACTTGTTTGCACGTGAGCAAAGGTGTTTTTAGGAGTCTAACTTGCAAACGCCAGACCACTGATTCATCAAACCTGCTTTCCTGCAGTCCGTGTTCTTCTGACTTCTGACTATTTTGTAGTAAGTAATGAATATGCTTCGGGGAAATGTATCGGAGTAAAAGTATACATTTTAATTAGGAAATGTAGTGGAGTAAAAGTTGGCTGAAATATAAAAACTCAAGTAAAGTACAGATTCTCCAAAAAATACTTAAGTACTGTAACGAAGTATTATTACTTCGTTACATTACACCACTTTGATCTTGACACATTGACTTGCTGTGTCTCACAAGCTGGTGAGCAGCCTAACTAGACATCGTTGACACGACTTTTCTGAGCCATGATGCCAAATAATGCTGCCTTGAAGTGCAGATGCAGGCAGCCTGCCACATTTTAAATTACAGACCAGACATACTCTAATTTTGAGAATTATAACAGATGCAAAGAGATACTGGAAGCTGTGGTGAGACACACACAACCCCTATCATTTGTGCACTACTACACACGCATTGAAATCACTGGTGCATCTAGAGCACAAACGGGCCCAAAGTCACAAACCATTAGTGAAATGATTCTATTTTGAACTAATTTAGAACAAACATTTACAGGAATTTAACATTATTTTAAACTATCAGCCTAATAATCTGAATTTAAAAAAAGCAAAAGTAGTAGTAAGAATTACCCCGTAAAGCCTGACAAATGAAATAAAAGTCAGTTTTTTTATTGAGTATCATATTTGGTACATCAGGCTTTTGATGATATAGTCAGAATATAGTATGATATAGCCAGAATCAAGCTCACACTTGAGGAAAAACACAATCGAAAATACAGAAAATAAAACTGTTATTTTGTGAAATATTATTGCAATTTAAAATAACAGTTTCTATTTTAATATACCATAAAATATAATTTATATGATTTTAATTTTAATCAAATGCTGTTCTTTTTAACTTTTTATTCATAATAGAATCCAGAAAAAAGTATCAGTTTCCAAAAAAAAAAAGCAGCAGCACAACTGTTTCCAGCACTGATAATAAATCAGCATATGATTTCTGAAGGATCATGTGACACTGAAGACTGGAATAATGATGCTGAAAATTCAGCTTTGATCACAGAAATAAATTATATTTTAAAGTATATTAAAACAGAAAACCAATATTATAAATTGAAATAATATCTCACAATATTACAGTTTTTTCTGTATTTTTTCATCAAATAAATACAGCCTTGATGAGCATAAGAGACTCCATTAAAAATCTTACTGATCCCAAACTTTTGAACGGTTAGTAAGTCATTAAAATGTTTCGTTATATTATCAAAGCTCTAGTTTTTATTCTGGGGTCAAAACAATTCGATGCAATACAATGACGATTGAGAGATGCACAAATAAACGTTCCTCAAAAATCTGATGTATCATATTTGATACATTTTAACATGATTTTTCTAAAAAAGAAGTATAATCAAGTTAACCTAAGTGTTAGTCTTTTAATATTATTGACAATGTTACAGGATTTAAATGGATTTCACTACAAAAAGACACATGAACCACAACCTGAAATCAATGTTTTTAAAAATTATACTAAAATGCCTTTTACTTGCCTAAAAAGTATAAACTATCAGTCAGATGACAGAAGGCATGTAGAGGATTGTGTACAACAGGTTTTCAGTAAAGTTTGGATCATTTTGATAATTTAGAGGCCCTAGACATTTGTGTATCAAAATTTGATAGATTTGCTGAAAACATGATGCATTTCATTTCTTTATGAGCAATGCTTGTTGTGCACACATCCATCCAAATAATGATATACTGACCAGTGAGGCATTGTTGACAGCCCTCCTCACAGGTTACACAGTCTTCATGATCAGAGTCAGCTGCTTCACCTATACAAGAACAAGTATCACACCATGAGTTTATACATGTCTGCCACTAATGATAAGAATTTCTGTTCCCCCACTGTCTCATTTCTGGTGCTATTTCAGTCTGACTTCTGCAGACGAGCTCTACCCTCATGCTCAGCGCATCTTTGACTGTGATAACAATTTGTGAAGATTAGATAAACAGCAGTGGGTGTCGTGAGAAGCCAAACAACATCCATAGAGTTAGATTTACAGATATACGTAGGCTAAAGCGATCTAGCTCAGCACACAAAATGAGAGAGAAGTCTTCTGTCTAGTGGGGTGAATCTCATGAAAACAGGTCTTTGTTAAACAGCACTGCAAAATCAAAAGATAAAAAGTATATTTTTGTGTATTTTTAGATCCATTAGCATTTTGTGTCACATTAGTTTCATGACAATTAAGTACATTAACCTCTTTTGAGGTTTTTTCTCCCTGTAATTCTTTTCAATGACGACTTAATAGATTCATGACTTAATAGATTCATTAAATCATAATTGCAATTTTTTTTTTACTTAATCACAATTGCTGTGTTTTTTATAGTACTGGTCAAAAGTATGGGGTCAGCAAATTAAATTGATGAGTAGTGAAAAAGACTATTAAAAAAAAAAAAATGCTTTTCTTATAAACTTTCTATTCACCAAAAAATCCTACAAACATTCTCACAATTTCCACAAAATATTAATCGGCACAACTGGTTTCAACGTTGCTAATAATAATAAATGTGACACTGAAGACTGGAGTAATGATGCTGAAAATCCAGCTTTGCATCACAGGAATAAATTAGAAAACAGTTCTTTTAAATTATAATATTTTACAATGTTGCAATATTGTTTTTACTGTATTTTTGATGTATTTTGATGCCTTGGTGAACAGAAGATACCTTTTTCAAAAACATAAAAAAAAAAAATATTACCACCCCAATTGATAGAGCAGCAATACAAACAACACCACAAGCAGCAAAACATATACTATCATAATGAGTGACGTGACATGTGGCCAAGTATGGTGGCCCATACTTGGAATTAGTGCTCTGCATTTAACCCATCCAATGTGCAGACACACACCGTGAACACACACCCGGAGCAGTGGGCAGCCATTTTTTGCTGTGGCGCCCGGGGAGCAGTTGGGGGTTCGGTGCCTTGCTCAAGGGCACCTCAGTCGTGGTATTGAAGGTGGGAGAGAGCGCTGTACATTCACTCCCCCCACCTACAATCCCTGCCGGTACGAGACTCGAACCCACAACCTTTGGGTTACGAGTCCGACTCTCTAACCTTTAGGCCACGACTTCCCCACACATACACCATATATCACAAATATGATATATGTAATTTCTTGACAGGTTTTGTGAGATTCATCCATTGGGAACATTATGGTGAAAAATACTGGCAAAAAAGCAAACACAAAAACATTTTGGCAATGGCAATGTGTTTTTAACACTGCGCCTACAGCTCAACCACTAATTCGATTTTCAGGAGAATTTTCAAATAAACCTCACTCACATTCCCAAAAAAAAGTAACCAGAATCTTAACATCACAAAAAAGAAACATGGAAAAGGCCAAGCAAGCAATAGAGAACATTCTAGAACAGTTATGATGCAACTGACCCAGTCCACACTCCAGTTTGGCACACATCCCGTCTTTAGGGAAGTAGGAGGGGGTGCAGTGGAGACAGTGGCCTGTAGAAGTACACACAGTGCAATTTGGAGGGCAGGGATCACATGTTCCCTTCGAGGAATGGGAATAGCCCTCTGGACAGGTTTCACGACACTCCCCTTCAAAGAGGTACCGCTCCACTCCGAACCTATCCGTGTGAAAACAAACAGAATAAGAACAATGTTAAGAGCTTGTATTTTTCTCTATTTTGTGAGGCAGTCATGACTCGGCTTACCTTTGCTACAGCGAGTACATTTGTCAGGCCCCTCGTCTGTACATTCGAGGCATGTGTGGTGGCAAAGATGACACCGTCTCTCCCACTTGTATTTCCCAGGGTCACAGCTGATCACACATTGCCCGTTATCAAAGAGCCTGCCAAAGAATAAAAACTGAAATCTGTCCCCACACAGTGCACCTCTTGTCTCACTGGGGCTTTATTTGACTGTGGTTCTGTGGTGATTTGTTCACACCTCACCTGGTGGAAGCACAGCTGATGAAGTCTTTACTCTCAGGTCCAGTGCTCTTTGAGCAGGTTGAGGAACACGGTTCACATTGATCAGGTTTGCTTAAATATTCCCCTGATAAAAAAATACAGATAACACATCAGCTACATAAAGATGCTTAACTAGAATATCCCACTTCATCTAGTGTAGGTAGACATAAATTGTATTAGCAGTTGTGAACAAATGCTTTGTTGGTAGATAATCCAGTGGTTCATGTTTATTATATTAGTATATTTATGTATGTAGCATCAGAAATAACTAACATTTCCCTGAATGCGCGTTTAAGAAAAGTAGGAAAATACAAACAAGTAAAAAACAACAAAAAAACAACAACAAGCAAGCTGATTAAATACAAATAAGCAAACAAAACAAGCAAACAAACAACCAAACCAAACAAGAAAATTAAACATGCTAACAAAACAAGCAAACCACACAAATACAAACAAGAAAGCAAATGAAACAAGCAAACAAAACAAATAAAACAAGCAGATTAAACAAATACTGCAAACAACTGAAACATATGCAAAGCAAATGAAACAAGCCTAACGAAACAAACAAAAACAAATACATGCAAACAAACAAATAAAACAAGCAGATTAAACAAATACTGCAAACAAATGAAACATATATGCAAAGCAAATGAAACAAGCCTAACGAAACAAACAAAAACAAATACATGCAAACAAACAAATAAAACAAGCAGATTAAACAAATACTGCAAACAAATGAAACATATATGCAAAGCAAATGAAACAAGCCTAACGAAACAAACAAAAACAAATACATGCAAACAAACAAAACAAGCCAACGAAACAAACAAAAACAATTACAAATACATGCAAACAAGGAAATGAAAGAAGCTAATGAAACAAAAACAAATACATGCAAACAAGCAAGAAAATGAAACAAGCAAATGAAACAAAAACATACATAAAGCAAACAAAACAAGTAAATTAAACAAATACAAACAAGAAAAAAGAAACAAGCAAACAAAACTAGTAAACAAATTAAACAAAACAAGTAAATTAAACAAATATAAAATCAAAAAAGAAACAAGCAAATAAAACAAGCTAATGAAACAAACAAATACATGGAAACAAGCTAACGAAACAAACAAAAAATAAATACATACAATGCAAACAAAACAAACAAGTAAAAAAAATACATACAAACAAGCTAACAAAAAAGCAAGCAAACAACACAAAGAAAAAAAAACAAAGAAATACATATATACATACAAAAAGAGAGGGAAACCAAAGTGTTTACCTGTTCAGAGCTTTAGCATTAATATGAAAGGCTTCTGGTTGAAGGATTGACCAGCTGACGTTTATGACTGCAGACAATTCAAAGGCCATGCACATGCAGGATTCATAAATCAGAACACTCTCAAAAGTAGTAAGAAAGCTTATGAAGATTGCCCTCATACAATCAGCAGGCCTTAGAAACTAAAAACTTAAAAAGAACTGAAAGCTGAATAAAGAAAATTATTTTGCGAGTTGCAAAAAACTGACCACAATAAAAAATTATTGCACATACGCAGTCAAATTGACACCTTTGTTAGTAATCTAAACATATTTTTCACTCTCTAGGTGTCAGAATGGATCAAAACTATCCCAAAGCGATGTTATGGGAATGTGAGAAAAGCTAAATACACTGAGCTAACCTTTAACCCCAGGCTAAGCAATGTATTTATGAGATTTCCTTTAGAGTGAGCTGGACATCTATAGCTGGCTGACCCTTCTGATGACCTCAGGCTTACGCTCTGATACACTCTATTCACTCAATTCTGACAGTCTTGAAGCAGCCGCTCATGACCCTACATGACCGTAATTTAGTTGTCAATCACTAGACTAAACATGGGTCCAAAGCCAATGTCAGTTAAATGGGTTTTCTCACTCAAACTGCTTGCAATAAACTGCAAAAACACTGAAGAATCGCTTTGATATTTCTCGCAAGGTTTGTAACATTTAAAACAGCATGTGTCAATAGTAATGGCTTTATCATGTTATTCACCACAGGAAAGAAACAATGGTTGTGTGGGAGCTGCAAATATTTTAGAAATGTTCGTTCTAAAGTAAACGGCCACGGGTCAGAACAAGGGGCTGCGCATATATTGTCTCTTTTAAAGTCATTGTGACCACTGCGCATTCGAGGTAAATTTCTTTCGGTCAAATGCTGAATTGTTCTCTTCAAAACAAAAAGGGCCTTTTGTAAAGAAAACAAGGAGAAGTTGAATCATTCTCACACCAGTTCACCACAAGAATTCAACTCTGAACAATATTTCTTGAAGTCAAAGTAAACAAGCGCTTTGACAGCACAAGATTTTTACGATGAAAATGTGATCGGTGCTCGTCAGTGTAAAACTCGCCACCAAAACACTAGCGTTTTGTGTGCTTTTCTGAGTGCGATTTAGCGTGTTGCTATATGGTTGCTAGGGTGGTTGTATACGGATCCAAGTCAAAAGGGCTCTATGACTTTCTGAACTCTATATATGACTCGGGTCACTGCTATGCAATTGTTTCACCCAATTTATCCACCAAGTCTGACTTCTCAGAAAGTAGCCCAGAATCTAAACAAGTAAACAAAAGTAGTCTCTTATAATCTCTGAGTCTTGTTTTTATTTTAAAGTTCATTAATAAAAAGATCAGTAAACCAGTTTTTTCATCCAGTCTTCTCTACATGATAAAACATTTTTCTTGGCCCTGACTACAACACATCTTCATCTAGACTAACTGTTCATGGCAGTTGGCTAAAAACTGAAATATAAAATAATTTTAGAAAACTTGATCATCCATTTTCCCCTTTTTTTCAATTGAACGTGGGTGCAAAATATATTTAAGGTTAATAGTGATAAAAATACATATATACATTAAGAAAAAAACGTTGCCAGAACAGAGTAAATGTAACACATTTGAACATAGACTGATTCTCGTAATCCTATATAACATTAGTTATGTAACGTTGCATGTATTGAGTTTGCAGAAAACGTACAATCATACTACAACTTTTTTTTGTGTCATGAATACACAATTAGCATGAAGTGGTTGAACAATCCCATCCACAAAACACAACTCATTTGAACTATGACCATTTATAAATCTTTTTCATAAATAAAAGGCTACGTCATCTTAAACCACATCATTCATAAATAAAAGACATAGAAATCCCCTTAACATTGCGCAAAAGCGGATTGGTCAAACATGTCCTTAATGAATGTAGAAGTCTAATTTGTGTTGTGTAGTACTATTAGTATAACTAAACATTTCACCTCGTTTCTGACCTTTATTAAAACGTAATATACTCCCCCCTCAAGTATTTTTTCCGTTTCCCAAGACGCTGCAATAGGGACAAAGTAAATACGGCCAATATGATCAACTGAAAATCTAGACGATTCGAACTCACAAATATTTGTTGGAAATGTGAATTCAAAAACATTCTCTAATAACTCCATTATGTCAATAGCACCAGTTACGTATGTGAATCACAGACTTGTTACTTTCATAAAGACCTGGAATATTGAACTGGCCATTTCAAAGTCGAGCAGTTTAACTTTTCATTTCCAAGATGAATCAATAAAATATAAATAGTTCTGGAGGGAAGCGGCTGAAACGGACACTGCGCTGTAAATAAAGTTCCTTATTTCACATGAATCATTTAGGATCAATATTGTGGAGTTGTTTTTTGAAATGGCGAGATATAAAAATGCATGCTTAGGGATTTGTTTGAAAAAATATACAATGGCCTGATGAGATCAAATGAATTAAACGTGTTTCAAACCTCATTTAGCTACCACGACTAAAACCTGTACTTCAACCCAGTCAACGATTCTTCAGGGAGCACTTACTTAAGTTTAGGTTTCACGAAAACCTATTTTTCCACTTATGCAACGTTGATGAAACACAAACACACACACACACACACGCATACAAAAACAGGTATGAGATATGAGCCTGAGGTGAAGAATTTCTGAACAGTGAGACCACCTGACGTGACGCATTCATCTTATTTGCTCGGTGTTAGTACAATACTCATCGCTTCAGAAAGTACTTATTGTACCTTGTACCTCCGGAGTCCGCTATCGATTTGACCGCGGTCATGAGGGTCAGTGGATGAACCTGTGCTATGGTTTTGCTCACAGAGGTCTTGCTGAAACTCGTAGAGGTTCTCTGAGTGTGCTTTATTCAGAATATGCACAAACTGGCTTTGATCATTGTTGTCGTCATCATGCGTGAAACTGTGGAAAAATAAAAAACCGCCGCTTCAACTCTCAGCATGTCGCTCCAAATTCTTCTCTTGGACCCAAAACGAAGAAAAAGGTACAAAAATTTGGCATCCATGCTTTGGTCACAAAATACTGACATGTATGATTTGCTGTTTATTACTGATCCCAGTCGCACCACCCTGACAGCTTCTGTCAACACACTCGCATTCACACACACACATACAGACACACACACAGAGATAAAGGTAGGTTTGTTGTAGTTCTGGCATCGGGAAACCTCACGATGTAGTCCCATATTCGAGGTTCCCGACTGGAATATAAATTAGCGGACCGTGAGGGGCAAGTGGGGCCGGAAAAGTTCCTTCAGCCCTTTAGAGAACATGTTCTACAGCAGAGCTGCTGCAGAACCTTCCTCTGGCACAGATTGTTCTTTTTCACTAACACACAGAAACTTCCCTCAGCCCACGATTCTTCATTTGCTTTCCAGAGAGCAGGAAGAGGAGAGAGGAGCAGAGAGACAGCACGTGATTGGGCGGCGGACAGGAAATGATGCAGATCAGGTCACAGTGAGAGATGGCGGGCAAATGTTTTGTTGGGTTTATTTTTATTTTTTTTATAATCCAGTTGATTGGTCGACGGAGGAGGATATCCAGGTGTGATTGGAATCCAGGATAAAAAGATTTGAAGGAAAGATCATCGGGAAGAAAAGGAGAACAAACATTTAGAAAGTGATCAAAAAAATAATTTTTACAGTGTCACAGGTTGACAGTGTAACTTTGTTGTCATTTGCTAGAAAAAGCAGACTTTACGCTCCACTGTAAAAATGTAGTCCCTATTGAAATCAAGGTTCCCCAAATTCACATGTAGAGAATAAATTGGCCTGAAATATTTGGGCACATTTCACCTCAAAATCAGAAGAAAGTTTTCAAAAAATTATATTTTGCATAATATTTTCGGTGTTATTTGCACAATTTTTATATTTATTTTATATTGCAAAGAATTTGTACAGCATGGTGGTATTCTTTGTACTACCTTTTTGAAATATTT